GGGGGGGGGGGCTCGGCTGAGGTTTATATATATATTTTTGGGGGAAAAAGGGGAGGGATTTGGCCCTTCATACTTGAACGTTTTTTTCTAGCGGTGTATTTATTGTGTGCTGAGGCGCGGGGCGTGAGTACAGAGAAGCCCCCGGGCTCAGACGGCAGCTCTTGATTTTTTTTCCTGAAAGCCCCCCCCCCCAGCACCTTCACCCCCTTCCAGCCGCCTTTCCCCCACCCCCAGGAGGCCAAGAGATGGCCTCCAAATCGGGGTAAAAAAGGGGGAAATCGGGTTTATTGATGGAGGGGGAGAGGGGCAGGCAAGCGCTGGGGCTGCCTGGCCCCGGGACTGCGGCGCATTTGGCCGGTGTGGTACAGAGAAGCCGGCTTGTTTACCTGCCCGTCCTGGGGGGGGTCGGTGCCCCCAGAAGTGCCTTGGTGGGGTGGGGGTGATGGCGGGGGGCTTTCTCTTTTTTTTTTTTTTTTTTCCTCTTTCTTTTAATATTTTTTCTGGAGGTTTTATTACATTTTGTTTCGGTTTCACCAATTCCAAAAAGAAACTAAAGAAATCTCAATAAAACTGTTGGGTTCAACCGTACCTGCCTCAGCCTGTGCCTGGAGTGGAGGAAACTGAGGCACTGGGGAAGGGGGGGTGGTGTGAGCTTAAAAAAACTGAGTTTATTTGCAGTGCTCAGAGCTCGGGGTCCCCCTGCCCCCCTCCGCCGCCCTCGGGCCGAGCCTCCTCTTCCTCGCCGTGCCAGTTGGCGAAGGCCACCTCCTGCGCCAGCTGCTGCAGGGGCGGCCGGCCCAGCACCAGGTTCCGGAGGGAGATGCAGGTCATCAGGGCGCTGGGGGGGGGTGTGTGTCAGTAATGGCAGGGGGGAGAAGAGAAGGGAAAATTAAGGGGGGGGGAAGGTGATTTTGGGGCTCACCTGCGGCGGAAGAGGTAGAATTTCTTGTGGAGGAAGCGGTGGAGGCGCTGGGCCAGGCTGGCCTCCCGCCGCCGGTTCTGTTCCTCCAGCCGCCGCTGCCGCCGCAGGAACGCCATCACCACCGGGTCAGCCGTGGTCCCCACCGGCGGTGGCTCCCCCAGGATGGGCCGCAGCTCGGGGGGCAGCGGCTCCGTCTCTGTAGGGATGAGAAGGGGGTGAACTGGGGACTGGGGGGGGTCTCCCCAAGATCCCCCACCGCTGGTGCTCGCTGGCGCTTACCGGTGCCGTTGCGCACCCGCTCCCGCAGCTCCTGCAGCCGTGTCAGGTTCTTCTCCAGCGCCAGCGCCGTGGTGTTGACATAGAGGTACATGTAGCAGGACGGCTTCGGTGACACCGTGTGCACCTTGTGGTACTGCCCTGCCGGCAGCTGGATGGACATGGGGGGGGCTGTCAGCGGCCCCCGGGACCCCCCCCAATGTCCCGTTCCTTCCCCCCTGCCCAGGCCCTCACCTGCATCCCCTCGCCCTCCAGCAGGGAGCGGTTTTGCTGCTGCTCCACCAGCTCCACCAGCACCTCTCCCTGCAGCACCCGCAGGCTGGTGTTACCCAGGTCCTCGCTGACAAAGTTCTCCAGGTGTAAGCCTGGGGCGAGGGAAA